GTTAGGGGAGGCAAAATAACATGCTAGGGAAAAACTCAGGAAATGCATAACCTTGTTTTAAGCTTTCTTGGAGACATAGGTACCCAAAGATCAATGTTACCTAGGGAAGGCTGTAGGAGGAGGTTGATTTAAACCAGCATTTCTCAACCACTGCCCTATTGACATTTTGGGCCAGACAATTCTTTGTTTGGGGGATTGTCCTGTGATTTAGGTACTTAGGTGTACTTCATGGGAGGAATAAGGAAAAGTGTGTCTACTCCATCTTTCTGCCCTGTCCATTTTCTTTGCTTCCCAATCTGAATCTTTTCCCTTGAAATACTGCAGAATTACAGACGGCAGTTTTCCCTGGCTCTCTGTAGGTGTAAAGTTTCATTGGAGTAATGTGAAATTTGCATTCGCATAGTAAGGATAGTTACCATGTGGTAAACACTTCCCAATTTTCCTGGATTGTATTAATCCTTGTATACGTTGTGTCTTAGTCAGCTCCGGCTGCCGTTTGAAAAGAAAACAGACTGGTGGCTTAAACAACAGAAAATTCTTATAGTTTTTGGAGACAGAGTGCTGGCATGGTTGGATACTGGTGAGGGCTCTCTTTCTGGCTTGCAGACGGCCGCCTTCCCCCTACTTGCTGTGTCCTTACATGATGGTGGGGTTGTGGGGAGAGAGCACACATACTCTGGTGTCCCCTCCTCTTCTACTAAGGACACTAATCCCATCATGAGGGCTTCACCCTCATGACCTTATCTAAACCCAATCATCTCCCAAAGACCTCATCTCCAAACACTATCACATTGAGTATTAGGGCCTCAATTTTGGAATTTTGGGGACGCACAATTATCTCAGTATTCTCCATACTTGTTCGAACCTAAGCATCATCTGAGGGAGCTTCATAAAAATAGTTTCCTCAGAGTGTCCACTGGAGACTGATACAATAGGTGTGAGCTAGTATCCATAATCTGTAGTTTTTGTATTTCCACTAATTCTTAAGATCAGACAAGTTGGAAAAAATGACAAAATTTAATTTATTCTTAATAATACTGTGAAATAGATAATCTATTGAAGAAGGAACTTTATTAGTGCAAACAGCTCAATTGTGATACAGCACAGCTGTGAGAACAGCATGGCTGTGGAACAACTCAATAGTGTTACAGCTCAATTATGAAACAGCATGGCTCTGAGGCTGCCCTGGGGTGAGTGGTCCTGAGATGAGGCCCCTCTGGCTAGACAGCTCTGCTCTGCTCTGTTCTGCTCTGCTCTGCTCTGGTCTGGTCCACTCGACTCTGCCTGTTCTGCTCCGAGTGTTTCAGCTTCAGCCTGGGAAACTCAGTCTTCATTCTTTGATGGAAAGGGAGATTGCACTTTCTGAGCCAGAGAGGGGCTGACTTATATAGAGAGAAGTCCCTGTGCCCAGTCCCTGATTGGCCCATTTTCATGCAAATGCGGGCTCCAAATCCTCACAGTTTGGTCCCAAAAGCACTGTCCTGATTGGTCGTAATGGAGCTTCTCTGTTTGGATGGTGAAGATGCTAATGAGGATGTAGCTGCATGGCTACGATTGGACAGGGAAAGTCTTAGCCCTATGGGTTGAAATACAACTCCAGGAACTCCTTCATAAGGGCTGGCCCCATGGCAGGAGCACAGTGCAAGGAGGCAGCTTAGCTGAGGCTTCTGCTAGAAGCATGGTTTGTGTGAGCGGCCCCAGTTTAGAAATGGCTGTTGGGCTCTGTTTTAAAAAT